AGTGATTAAGAAGAAGACGGAGGAGAAGACGACAAAAGGGAGAGAGAGCCGAGGTAGTTGATCAACTGATTGACCCGTCTCGCTTTTGTCAGTTGGGTGACGCAAAAGCGAGGACGCGTGTCCGACGCGATTTTCGACAAACAAAAAAGAGATACGGGCGAGTCCTATATATATATGTATATATATGTTTTTATTATCTAATTTTTTATGCCATTTATCACTATCATTTTCCTCCTCCTCCTCTAGATTCTGAGCCATAATTTCCTTTTGATAATGTCACAGAGGGAGAAATTATATGATGTTATACATTATGGTATTATTTTCAAATTATGGTATTATTTGAAAACTAATCTGATAATTATGTATTTATAATTTGATATCTTAGTCTTATATCATGTCTCTAATTAAAGCTTATTTATTACACATGTGCTAACCTGTGTATTTATAAATGAATTCAGGGAGCATGACTTGAGGGGGAGCTTTTCTTACTCCCAAATCAAATCAAAGCATCATTGTGTGCCATCATAAAAAAGGGGGAGATTGTTAGATTCATTTGTTTTGATGATTTATTTAATTATGTTTTAATTTATTTGGAAGAGAAAAATAGAATCAAAATTTATCTTGATGATTTATTTGAAAGAGACAAAATAGAATCAAAATTTATTTTAATGATTTTATGTTTTAATAAAATCAAAATTTATTTTGTTCCATTATTTCTCACATAAACCTTTATCTTAAATGCTGTTAGAATATTTGATTTGATTATATCTGTTTTGATTATCTAATTTTTGATGCCATTTATCACTATCATTTTCATCTTCCTCCTCTAGATTCTAAGCCATAATTTCCTTTTGATAATGTCACAGGGGGAGAAATTATATGATGTTATGTATCATGGTATTATTTTCAAATTATGATATTATTTAAAAACTAATATGATGATTATGTATTTATAGTTCGATATCTTAGTCTCATATCATGTCTCTAATCAAAGCTTATTTATTACACATGTGCTAACCTATGTATTTAGAAATGAATTCAGGGAGCATGACTTGAAGGGGAGCTTTTCTTACTCCCAAATCAAATCAAAACATCATTGTGTGCCATCATAAAAAAGGGGGAGATTGTTAGACTTATTTATTTTAATGATTTATTTAACTATGTTTTAATTTATTTGGAAGAGAAAAACATAATCAAAATTTATTTTGATGATTTATTTGAAAGAGACAAAATATAATCAAAATTTATTTTGATGATTTATTTGAAAAAAAAAAATAGAATTAACATTTATTTTGATGATTTTATGTTTTAATAAAATCAAAATTTATTTTGTCTCATTATTTCTCACCTAAATCTTTATCTTAAATGTTGTTAGAATATTTGATTAAATCAGGAGTTCAAACAGCCAAAAACAAAGGTTCAAACAGCCTAGCACAACAACAAGCCAAAAGGTTCAAAAGGTTCAAGTGAAAGATATTCAAATTTGTAATGATGGAGTGGAAGAAATTCAAATTAGTAAGGATAGAAGTACAACGGCTATAAAGGTTCAAAAGGCCAAAAGGTTCAAAAGGTTTCAAGTGGAAGATATTCAAATTTGTAATGATGGAATGAAAAATATTCAAATTGGTAATGATGGAAGTACAATGGCTATAAATTAAAATGACTACAACGGCTATAAACGGCTATAATTTTCATTATATATACCAAAGCCTCTAATGTAAATAAGTTACAAAAAAACCTAAAAATATTTTTTGATCTATAATCACTCAAATCTATTCTATGAAATTATACACTGAGCCTTATAGCATTAGGCTCATCTTTCCTGTGTGAAATGCACAGAAAAATCAAAGTTTCATTTTATATATCTATCTTTGAGAGATATTTATTGTAAGTTTTCTTTGAAAGCAAAAATACCATTTCATCTTGTAAAAGTGTTGCAAACACTGTGTTCTTGAAATCTTGAGAGTGATTGTGAATCACCTAAGATTTGTAAGGGTTTGAACATGTGAAGTTTGTGTAAAATCCGTGGAGGATTGCTCCATTTGTAAAGAGGTTGCTAGCACCCTTGTGAAGCTAGATGATAGTGGAAAATCTCAAGTGAACTTTGAGGAGTGGATGTAGGCCGAGTTGAAACCGAACTACTATAAATTTGTTTGCCGCTCTCTTCCTTATGTCTTTATTTTATTTTAAATTGCCATAACTATATTTCACATTTTTACTATGCTAAAATCATTAATTGACATAGTTGTTAAGATACTTGTTTTAATTATTTTTATTTCATTAATTATATTTATCATTTGTGCTAGTCATAATTTTTATTAGGGTATTATTAATTTGAATTGTAAAAACCTAATTCACCCTCCCTCTTAGGTTGTCTTTTGGGTAACAGATCATTTTAAGTTTTTGAATAAATATTCTACTTAACAAGTTATAAAAAGTAAATTGTTCAAATAACTAAGATCGGTATCAAAATAGACTCACCAAACCCAATCACTCTCTCGAATTAGATGACAATTATTTGCGATAATCCAAACCTTTATATCAATAGTATAGAGCTTATTGTATTTTTCTTAAATATACCGGAGGTTAGTGTAATTTAGCCATAATTGCTAGGGTAAATTACACTGACACAACTTGAGATTTTGATTTAATACAGATTTCCTTCATATTTAAAAAATTACATTTACCCCATGTTAGATTAAAATGATATATTTATTCCTTAACCTTTATACATATAAAATAATAAAATAATACAGATATTTTGTTCATGTCATTTCAAGAGAAATAGTGATTATTTTCTTTGGTTTAACTCATACAAAAAATTGAGTTTTTTTTTTCGTTTTTATTTTTATTTTTATTGAATTTTTTTAATATTTTAAGTGAATTTTTATTTTTTAAGATACACCTAATCTAGATATACTTCAGAAGTATAATATTTCATGATTTTTTTTAAAAAAAATTCACCAAATACAAAATATATATATATATATATATATATATATATATATATATAAACTTAAAACATTATCTTATTTTGTTGTACTCAATGAATTTTTTTAAAGTTTTTTGTTCAAATTTTATACCTTTTTAAATATATCTAGATTAAATTGATATAAATAAAAATGAAAAATTATATTCACATATAAAAATTTATACAAAAAATATTATAAAATATTGTGATAATGATATTATTGTAAATATAAATAATTTGTATGTGTGTTTTGTTTTAAAGTGAACCATTTAAACTTCTCTATTTTCTAACTAGAGAAGTGTTTTGTTTTAAATAATTTGTTTCATATAAAGTGTTTTGTTTTAAATAATTTGTTTCACCCAATCATCCAAATAATTGTCCGATCGATCGTCCAATAAACACTAATTTGAACCATTTAAACTTCTCTATTTTCTAACTAGGTTTTTTTTTTTATTTTTAAAATATATGAGAGAAATTGAATTAATCCGCACTTACCAAGGAATGTTTCAAAAAGGGAGATTTTTTTTAGGGTCCCTGGTATTAAGATTTTATAGTGTAAAGGACATTTTATATTTTTATAATGTCTAAGGTCCCTCAATATCAATCCGGAGAAAATTCGATCAAGAGAATTTCTCTGGACCTCCCAGAGAAATTCTCTCCAGACATCCAGAGAAAATTCAGATAGTCTAGAGAAAATTCAGACATCTAAAGAAAATTTAGACATCCAGAGAAAATTCAGATAGTCTGGAGAAAATTCAAACATCTAGAGAAAATTCAAACATCCAGGGAAAATTCAGATAGTCAAAAGAAAATTCACACAGTTCAGGGAGCTCTGTATCATCATGCATTTTATATCTTCTCTTACAAATATCTTTTCATGGAGGGTTGTTATCAAAATTTTGTTTGCTAATAATCCCAGTGCTCCTTGCAGGTCAAGTCCAACAAGAAGAAGTGATTGACAGTAAGATCTTGCCATGCTGTAGCATAGACAATAAAGAGAAAAAATCATTGGGTGAGCTTGAACAAGAATTTCTTCAAGCAGTACAAGTAATAAAACAGATTATTTTTAGTTTGTTTTGTTTTTTAAAGTACACAAATTTATTGTGTCTTAGAATTCTGTTCAGACTACAGTTCTACAGTGATTAAAATATTTCTGATTGTCCTACTGATTGTAGAATTAGAAGTATTATGCATCGTTCTAGATTTTGGAAAAAAAGAGTAATGATCCAGAGAAAATTCGCACATCCAGGGAAAATTTACACAGTCCAGAGAAAATTCACACAATCCAGAGAAAATTCAATCTAATTTCCTCACATACTCGACGTTGGGGCACTTCTTTCTCAGTCTCTGAACCTTGCGAAGTCATCAACCTTGTAGAACTACAAGACTGCAAGCTTGACCTTATTCTTCTTGTGTTTGATCTTCAGTCGTCCTCTAGTTAGTTTTTGACGAAGTAATCAATTTTTGATAATGTGAGATCACTACCAACAGAGATCTGAGAAATAGATGCAAATCAAGTATTTTCGAAACAGAAAGAGAGCAGAGAAAGTGCAAAATATGAAATCATAGATCATACTAACACATAGTGAATTCAAAACGAGAGAGAGAGACAGAGAGAGAGAGAAGTGACCTTGTCAAAATCCTAAGAAGTGACACCAAGAAGGTAGAAGAAGTAAGTATTGTAAAGAAGAATAATAATAATAATAATAATAATAATAATAATAATTGCTGAGATTAATGAACGAATCACCAAGGATCGATGAGCTCCCATAGAGTTAGAGAAAGAGAGAAGGGTTTTGGAAGTTCGCATGGAAGAGAATCAAATTTCTTCGTGCTATATGAGATTAGAGTTGAGGGATCTTAAAAATCACAAAATAATATTGTGAACATTATCTTTTACTTAAAAATGAGATACGGACTTTAAATTAATTTTTTTCTTTAAAAAGATAGTTAAACTTTTTGATTTTTTTTTAATTTTTGCGTGGGATGGAAAAATGGATTAAAAAGTTATCCACCCACCTCCCAAAATAGGCTAATTAGTGCGCGAAAAGGCAGAGACAGAGAGAGCCAACGGACAGCGACGGAGACGCACAATTCGCCAAAAACATCAGCAATCTGCCGTCCGTAGCCGAATTTTATATTCCTAGAAAAGCAGTCAAATGGCCTCCCTCCCACCAACTTTCTTCCTCGCCAAACACCAAGCACAACAATCACACTCTCACACCAAGTCCTGACACCACTTCACTTTCTCTTCCTCCTCCAATGGCTTCTTCTTCGTTCTCTCAAGCCATTCTCGCTTCCAAATCCACTCTCTCTCGCCGAACTGACTCTCCAGCGGCTCTCTTCTTCTGTAGCAACTGTTTTGTTCCGGTGAAGAGACCTCTGTTGTTGCGGAATCGATGTTGCGGAATTCGAGTCCCACGCGTCGCCGCTGAGGTACTTGGTGATGATCGAGCTGTTGAAGAAGACGAGAGGAGAGAGAAAGGCAAGGTTCTGAGAGTTGGACTTGTTTGCGGAGGTCCATCTGCGGAACGTGGTATCTCTCTCAACTCTGCAAGATCGGTGCTTGATCATATTCAGGTATTCCTAAATATATATACATATCAATTCAGTAATTTGATTCTTTAGACTTTATTTTAGTGTTTATGACAAGTACAAACAAGCAAATTTGTAGCTTTCTCGATCAAAGAAAAGAAAGGAAAAAGAAAAAAAAAAAAAAGAAGAAGAAGAAGAAGAAGAAGAAGAAGATTTGACGGGAAAATTGGAGGAGAAACTAATCCTCCATGTTTTGGTGTTTGTGTGATTAGAAAACGAGTCATGGCTTGGATTGGATGAATAATGATACAATTGTGCAAAACATAAATGAGTTGACTTTTTGTTTGCTTCTGTGTGTGTTCTGTTGGAAAGCATTGCAGGGAGTACATTTGGGCATGTTTGATAATCCATTGGAAGGCTGATTTTTATTTTATTTTTAATTTTTTAATTTTTTGATATCAGGGGGATGATTTGCATGTAAGCTGCTATTACATTGATTGCAATCTCAAAGCCTACGCAATATCCCCTGCTCAGGTTTGTGCATTCTGTAATGTTGGATAACTGGGTTTGGTGGGGGGATTAAGGAAGAGATTTGAAAAGGGAAACAGAAAGGGCAAAGTTAGGTGAAATGTGAATAAAATATATGTCTACATTTCACATAGTTCACCTATCTTTCCCTTTTACTTTTCCCTTTCCAAATCTCTCAGCCAAACACAGCATTAGGTTCTATGGTATGGTAACCTGTGTATGCTTGTTATCACCTTCTGTTTACATCTTTTTTGTCAAAGGGGTCTAAACCTATCTTTCATCATACTTTTTTTTTTTTTTTTTTTTTGGGAGGGGGGGTGTTGTTAACTTAAGGTGTTAGGAACTCTCACAAAAGATATGCACTGGCTCAGCTGTTGCTTTGTTTTCGTGACTGGTCAATAATTAATCAATTCTGAAAGGATTTTTTTCTCTAAATGTCATAAATGGTGAAGCAGCTTGTATAATATTGTGTTAAGGCTACCCTCTCAAGTTCCAACACAAACAAAGAAAGGAAAATGAAAGAAACTCCTCTTCCCTCTACATTCTTTTGAACTGATGTCGTCCAACTACTTGATCTTCTTGATGTGGTTTTATCACATTCTGTGTGGCAGTGATCATTTAGCTGTCTTTCTAGTTTCTACTTCTTTTGTAGTTCAAGAAGAGCCTGCTTTATGAGTTTCATGGTCATTGGCTACAGTCCTTTATTGGACTTCATCCATTCTATATAAAATAGATTTCCAGATCATTTTGTGTGTGAATCTGGGTTGAGCTCTAGGAATACAAACGGAGGTCCCTTTTCTTTTTTTGTTTGAGCAAGTTCTTGGTTCATAAAGTTTCTAGCCGTTTCCTATCAAAATCTCCAAATTTCAGTCTTTTAGTTTTAAAGGCTTAGTTATATATTAAAAGTTTTATTGATATATATGCTCTTTGTTGGTTGCACTCCTATTTCTTAACTGTTTACTATCTTGCTCACAATTATTTACCAGCTGAAAATTATTGCAATGATGAAGAAACTTTAAAAATATACTACTTAAGGTCTTTTGATTTTTCTTCTTAAATTTTACTTGCAAGTATATTCGAACACTCCTGCAGATTTTGATTTCAAACATATACTTTCTTCTTAAATTTTACTTGCAGGTATACTCAAACACTCCTGCAGATTTTGATTTCAAACTTGAAAGGTATATGTGGATAAAATTGAGTATCTATTTTTTTTGTGACTGAAATTTGGAAAATGCCTAATTCGTTATTTTGCAGCCTTGCCCAAGGATTCGAGTCTTTGTCTGACTTTGCAGAGCACCTTACTGGTTCTGTTGACATAGTTTTTCCTGTAATACATGGTCGTTTTGGTGAAGATGGTGGCATTCAGGTGTAGTTCAGTGTAAAACTTCATGTGTGCTGACAAACTTTTTGAGACTAATAATGGTAGTAAATAGAAATGTATTTGTTTTTCCAGGAGATATTGGAAAAATCAAATATTCCATTTGTTGGCACATGGTCAGATGAATGTCGTAAAGCATTTGACAAGGTGTCCCACGCGTCGCCGCTGAGGTACTTGGTGATGATCGAGCTGTTGAAGAAGACGAGAGGAGAGAGAAAGGCAAGGTGAGCTAGCTCAAAAATATTTTTTTTATTAAAAAAAAAAATCTTTATTAATAATGTGCACATCACATATTTTTTGTTTAATAAGGTTTATTCTGGTTTGGACAGAGCATAATATTAGTAACCCATAGTTCAATGAATTAGAGAAACTAGAAACTCAAGCAAATTGAAATGTTTTACAAGAATGCATCTTGGACATTAAATTGTCTGATTGTTGGTCTTCTTCTGCCGCTTAAATTCCCAGAAATCTGCTGTTGTGTGTACAATATAACATGAGTCTACCATTTGATCAACATATAGGCTATAGTTTGAAAACATCACAATACAAGCTTGTTGTAATACTTTAACTTGAATTGCACTTACCCTTCCAAACCAGTTTTTTTTTTTTTTTTTTTTTTTTTTTTTTTTTTTTTCATTTCTGTTTTCTTTTTTAGTAAGCTGATGCCAATTATTCTTGATATTGTAATTATTGGCAGTATGATGCGTCCTTGGAGCTCAACAGACAAGGATTTGTAACTGTACCTAATTTCTTAGTGCAGGTATTGTTTCAACAAGTTTAAGCTTTTACTAACTATTGTGCTTGTCTTTGGTTGTCCTTTTTCCATGAATTGGACAAGTAGGAACCCTTATGCAATCTTCTGATATTTATAAGTCCCTAACGACAGTACTTCAACGGCCATCCTTGGCAGTTTTGGTTTCAACTGCTATTATCATATCTCTCCAATCGATGCATCTTCCCTAACTGCAACACTTCTGCTGAAATCCCTGCCTTGTTTCCACTTGTCCTCTTGTCCAACGTTTGGTTGCTTGATTCTTGAAAAAATCCGCTTGCAAGTGCCCTTTCCCACCATGTGCCCTTTCCCTGCTTTTATCAATTTCACACATGCTCCTATAAGCTTCTTCCAAGTGACAATCCAATCTTCAAGATTTCAAATCCTTTCCAAGACATGTGTCCCTTTGTTGACAGAAAATACAAAATGTTGTGCAAACAGGGATGCAGCTTTTCTCATTATTCAATATAAAGTTGAGATGGAGAATAGTCTCTGGTTTTGTGAAGAAATTGATTATGAGGTTCTGATTTCTGTTTTTTCAATTGAAACTTTGCTGTATTTGCATTTATTTATTTTTTTCTTCCTTCTGACACTTGTGAAATTGCTTATAGGGAGGTGAGTTGGATGAATCTGATTTGTCAGAGTGGTTTTTGAGAAATCAACTGGATACTAACCTGGGCAAAGTTATTGTAAGGCCTAATCCCTGACACTCTATAGAAGTTTGGCAACACTGATACTGGGATGATTGTTAAAGCCTGACTAACATGCTGTGTTTTTATTCAATTGCAGGTAAAACCAACAAAAGCAGGGTCAAGTATTGGAGTTACAGTTGCATATGGTGTTACTGATTCTCTTAGAAAAGCTAATGAAATAATTTCAGAGGTAATTATTCTTTCTCCTTCCTGTATCTTTCTATAATTTTTTTCGACTTTAACAATGAAGCAAAATTCGAAATGGCAAGTTTTCTAAAAAAGTTGGACCAATTTGATTTCATTAGGGTATGCCGAAATAAGTATTTAGTATCTGTGACCCATAAAAAATTTCGTTATGCATATCAGAAAGTAGCTCTCATCTTATTATTCTCTAAATGAATATGATTTTGATTTTTTCAAAATGTGGTAAGAAAACATGTGGTCAAACTGAAGATTTTTTTTCTTCTTCTGAAATTACATATTTGTAAATGGAATATAAGCTCAGCAAAGTAGTCTATCTGGGGGTTCGAGCTAGAGAATTGTTTGACTGGAAAACTATGCTTTGGAGGTTTTAATGCTGTAGTTGCTCCTCATGAATTACACATTCTTTTGATTTTTGACAGGGAATTGATGACAGAGTCCTCGTTGAAATTTTTCTTGAAGGAGGAAGCGAGTTTACCTCCATTGTCCTTGATGTGGGTTCTGGTTTTGATTGTCAGCCTGTTGCATTATTGCCAACAGAGGTATATGCACCTTGATTTCTTGGGAAACATGTAGGTTTGGAATTTAAGTCTATTCTATAGTCACACTCTCTTCACATGGTAAAATTGGATCAGAGAAGTGTTGTCACTCTAACCTAATGGATCTTTTTATTTGACTCTCCTAAATTGATGATCAGGTGGAACTTCAATTCCATGGCAGTGCTGATGTAAACGAGAAGGATGCAATATTCAATTATCGAAGGAAATATCTTCCTACACAGCAGGTATGACAAATTGCATGCTATCTGTTCCAATCAAGGTTCTGAAAAGCAGTTGTGGTCGCCGTAACGGTGGCGGTGGCGCGGTTGCGGTTGCGGGGTGTAAAGGCCGTAGCGTAACGGTTGTGGTAACCGGAACCGTGAATTTTTTTATTTTTTACACAATTTGAAAAAAACTTACCGATATGCATTTTTTCCATGATTATATTTATTGGGTTAAAAATAAATATTGATCAATTTTTGTAAATTTTTAAGTATGATCTAATATATTTTATGTTTTTAAATCACTCTAAATTGAGTTTTTTACATTTTATTTTGATAATTAATGACTTTTTATTATACAAAAAATCAATCACTAACTATTATATATAAGATAAACAATGACAAAAGTAAGAGAATAAATAAGAGCCTAAATATATATATACATATTTTAACCAATCCAAATAGATAATGACCACACTTATTATTATTATTTTCAAACAATATATATATAGACACACACAAACAAAATGGTTGAGTGATAGCAGCTGAATAGAATAGCATAGGTCTTACAGCTTCAACAAGTCAATAACATGTTATTTATCTTCTCTCTTCTGTCTCTCTCTCTCTCTCTCTCTCTATCTCTTGCTCCTCCATTTTCTCTCTTCATCTTACTTCTTCTCTCTATCCCTCTTCTCCTATTTTCAGCTCTTTTTTTTGTGTTTTTTCGAAAGAAACAGTTTGGAACCGTTACGTAACGGTGCGTAACAGGCCGGTACGGCTGTTACGGCACCGTTACGACCGCTACGGCCGACACACCTGTGAATCTCAATCACACTGCAAAAGCGGCCGTAACGGGTGGCGGTAACCGCCAAAACCGTTACGTAATGGTGTTACGTAACGGTTGCGGCCGCTTTTTAAAACCTTGGTTCCAATTCTAATGGTGTTAGTTTAAATGCAAGCATTTTATAGTTTTGAGGGTGCATGAAGTTGCCATTGTTCATGAGTTACTGGCTAGCGGTCATCTGCTTTTATACTTTTATTTAGGGTAGTCTTTAGCACTGCTTTTATTGATTTAGTTAGTTATCTGTTGCGTTGGATTATTTAGTACAATATGTTTTGTTTTGGTGTTCTTTACATATATCTTTTCTATCTCTCAAACTCATGCATTCATTGCAGGTTGCATACCACACCCCACCTCGTTTTCCTCTAGATGTGATTAATAGCATTCGTGAAGGAGCATCTCTATTATTTCAATGGCTTGGCCTACGTGATTTTGCTAGAATAGATGGCTGGTTTTTGCCAGCTTCTGCTTGTTTATCATCTTCTTCAGAGAACAAGTTTGGAAAAACTGAATCCGGTACAATAATATTTACTGACATCAACATGGTAAGATGGGTGTCTGAGTCTTTGCATGTATTTAAATTAATTACTGCTGACGGTTTTCTATACATTCTGGAATATTGATTTCCTTGTGTTTTTCTAGATTAGTGGGATGGAGCAAACCAGCTTCTTATTTCAGCAAGCTTCAAAGGTACTATGATTCTGCTTCTATGTTGTAATGGAAGTTCAAGATCTTGTGATGATTTGCCAAAATAGCCATTTGAATCCCTAAATTTCTTTCGCATGGTGTCTGTGTTTTCCATATTTCAGTCAGTTTTGTATGTACTATGAATGTGCATTTTGCATGTTATAACTGTTAGAATATATTGTGTATATGGCATGGTTATGTATATTAGGAATTAGGCGTATGTATTTCCTTTTTCAGTCATTCCTTGTTCAGCCATAGATTACATTCATTGCAGGTTGCATACCACACCCCACCTCGTTTTCCTCTAGATGTGATTAATAGCATTCGTGAAGGAGCATCTCTATTATTTCAACGGCTTGGCCTACGTGATTTTGCTAGAATAGATGGCTGGTTTTTGCCACCTTCTGCTTGTTTATCATCTTCTTCAGAGAACAAGTTTGGAAAAACTGAATCCGGTACAATAATATTTACTGACATCAACTTGGTAAGATGGGTGTCTGAGTCTTTGCATGTATTTAAATTAATTACTGCTGACGGTTTTCTATACATTCTGGAATATTGATTTCCTTGTGTTTTTCTAGATTAGTGGGATGGAGCAAACCAGCTTCTTATTTCAGCAAGCTTCAAAGGTACTATGATTCTGCTTCTATGTTGTGATGGAAGTTCAAGATCTTGTGATGATTTGCCAAAATAGCCATTTGAATCCTTAAATTTCTTTCGCATGGTGTCTGTGTTTTCCATATTTCAGTCAGTTTTGTATGTACTATGAATGTGCATTTTGCATGTTATAACTGTTAGAATATATTGTGTATATGGCATGGTTATGTATATTAGGAATTAGGCGTATGTATTTCCTTTTTCAGTCATTCCTTGTTCAGCCATAGATTAGGGCTATATAAACTGATGAATACTTTGTAAACATTAACATTTTGAATATACAGAAATACTTCAGAATTCTTACATGTTATCAGAGCCTTCTCTGAGCCGAAACCCGAGAAAGTGACTTTGTGTCATCTTCTTCATCAGAATCTCACTGAGTCGTAATCATAGGTGCTCTTCTTCATCGCAATCGTCTCTCGAAAATCAACCCTTTGGTTTTATCCCTCTAAATCGCAGGTCGTAGAGCACCAAAATCGCGATTGGTATTCTCGACATTCTCTCTCTCTCTGTGGTCGTGTTCACGAAGTTCGATGCTTTCGATCAAAGTTCTCTTGGCTCTTGACCTTCGTTCTGGTTCAGTCACCGGAGTCTCGATTGTACCAGATCTGTTAGCACCAGAATCGCAACTATTCAGGGCTGGAATCGCAACCCATCTGGTTCGCAACTCCTTTCGTTGGTTTTCGTTCGACTTCGGCTTCAGGTTCTTTTGGCTTCAGTCTCTCTCTCTCTCTTTTCTCTGATTTGGTTCTTCATCAGACTGCTGCCTTCGGTTTCAAGAAAATCTAATTATTATATTTTGACCCCAACTTTTTATTATCTGGTTATTACACTGTGATTTTAGATTTATTTTGTTTTGCCCCATCAGATTTTTGTGTATTACCCTTCGACCTCTGGTTTGGTTATTTTGTTCTATATAGGGTTTATTACACTTGAACCCTCAACTTTCAGGTTATTATGATGTATTTGGCTTTCAGATGAGTGTGCTTTCTGTCATCAGAAGGGCTATTGGAAGTATCACTGTCCCAAGAAGGGACGTCTGTCTGCCATGTCTTCTCAGCAGTCTCAAACCCTGTCCCGAGCTCCTTCTCTGAGTACTTTTCATCCCTCCGTCAGTACTACTGCATTTGCTTCGACTCCTGATCCTGACTTGGCTTCCTTGAGGGCTCAGATTAGTCAACTTCAATATATGCTGTCTACCTCACAGCCCTTCTTGTCTGCTTCGGTTGTTTCCTCTCTTCATTTAGGTTTGCTTGGATCTTCTTCAGGTATCTCTTCGTCTGTCTGGATTTTTGACACTGGTGCTTCTCATCATATGACTCTCCATCTCTTCTTACTTCAAAATTGTATTCCCTCGTCCCTTATCTATTACTGTTAATGCTGCTAATGGGTCTAGTATGTTTGTTATATCTGTTAGGTCTGTCCTACCATCTGTTATGTCTGTTATCTCTATTCCATCTGTCCTTTATATTCCTCAATTATCTATCAGTCAGCTTGATGCCTCGGGTTTTGATGTTATCTTTTCTTCTTCTATCTATTCTATGCAGGATCGGATATCTAAGTAGTAGATTGCGACCGGCCGTAGAGTTGAAGACCTCTATGTGGTGGAGAGCTTGCATCTGCCTATAGCAACCTCTCCGACTGCCTTTTCCTCTTTTCAGTTAGATCCTATGGTATTCTAAATTAGAACATTTGTCTGCTGATTGCTAACGGCCTTTAGTTCAGTCTGGTATATTGGGTAAACTTTCTCCTAGTGAACTTACAGAATGCCGGGAGTGTAAACTTGCCAAAATAACTGCCTTACCTTTTCATAAAAGTATTTTTATATCTGATATACCATTTTCTTTAGTTCATACTGATGTTTGGGGCCCTTCTCCTGTTCTCACCAAATGGGGTTCTGCATACTATGTGTCATTTGTTGATGACTGCACCCGTTACACTTGGGTTTATCTTATGACTCATAATTTTGACTTCTACCAAATATATCGTACTTTCCAGTCTATGATCACTATACAGTTTGCGTCTACTATTAAATTGTTGCGGTCTGACTTGGGTGAGAAATACTTTAAAATTGAATTTTGTGAATACTTGGCCAAATTAGGTACTATTCACCAAACTTCTTGTACTAATACACCTGCCCAAAATGGTTGAGCTGAGCATAAACACCATCATCTCCTTGAGACAACTAGATCTCTCGTTCTCTCTGCCTCCGTTCCGGCTCCATTTTAGGGTGAGGCCGTTCTTACTGTTACTTTTCTTCTCAACCGTATGCCTACCCCCCTTCTTTCTGACCGGTCTCCTTATGAGGCTCTGTTTTCTGATTTTCCTAATTACTCCCTTCTTCGTGTGTTTGGGTCTGCTTGTTTTGTCCTTTTACCCCGTAAAGATAGGATCAAACTTAGTGGCCGGTCTGTCTTATGTCTTTTTAGGTTATAGTCTCACTCAAAAAGGTTATCGCTGTTATGACTCTGTTTCCCGTCGCCTTTATGTCTTCCGTCATGTTGCCTTTCTCGAACGTCTACCTTACTTTCAGCTTCCTCCTCTCACCGTCCCAATTTCTAAAGAGGATTTGGTTCATATTGATCCATTTTCTTCTGAGGTCCCGTCTGATGAGTAGATCTCCACTGTTCCTCCTCAGCTTGTTTCATCTTCTCTTCCTGCTTCACCTATGGCTACTTCTCCTCCTTTGGCTTCTCCACCTCCTCCGTTGTTAGTTTATTTTCGTCGCAAGTCTCCTCTTCCACCAGTTGTCTCTGCCCTTGTTGCTGATCCTCCTGCTTCTGACGACTCTAATCCTGCTACACACCGATATCCTACTCGTTAGCGTCGTCCTCCAAACAGGTTAGGTTGGTCTAATACATGTTTTTCTACTTTTTATTGTACTTTTTTGTCTTTTATTCATTCTTTTTCAGAACCTCAATCTTACACGGAGGCCTGTCAGGATCCTAATTAGGTCCAAGCTATGAAGGATGAGTTGTTTGCCTTACAGAAGACTAACACTTGGGAGTTAGGTCCTTTACCTGCTGGCAAGAGTCTGGTTGGTTGCAAATAGGTCAATAAAGTCAAGACTCATTCTGATGGTTCTCTCGAGTGATACAAAGCTCGGTTGGTTGCAAAGGGTTTCTCGCAGGAGTATGGTATTGATTATGAGAAGGCATTTGTTCCTGTTGCCAAGATGACTACTGTTCGTACCTTGATTTCTATTGCTATTGTTCGACATTGGCCTCTTTATCAGATGGACGTTAAGAATGCTTTTCTTAATGGTCATCTCACTGAGGAAGTCTACATGCGTCCTTCCCCTGGCCTTCTCAACTCCTCTGGACAGGTTTGTCATCTTCGGCGCGCTTTGTATGGTTTGAAGCAATCTTCTCGTGTTTGGTATGATCGCTTTCAAAATGCTGTTAGTGAGCTTGGGTTTCATCCTTCTGCTTTCGACTCTGCTTTGTTTTTGAGACATAGCTTGGCTGGTTTTGTTGCTCTCTTACTCTATGTGGATGATATGATCATTACTGGTTCTGACTCTTTTGCTATCTCTGAGGTCAAGAAACATCTCTTCTGCAACTTCGAAATGAAAGATCTGAGCCCATTGCGGTATTTTCTTGATATTGAGATTGTCTTTTCTCTAAAGGGCTATTTCCTATCGCAGGCAAAATATGCTAATGAGGTTATTCACCGTGCCGATCTTACTGATACTAAGATTTCTAATACACCTATGGAGCTTAATGTCAAGTTCAACCAAGGTTCTGAAAAGCGGTTGCGGTCGCCGTAACGGTGGCGGTGACGCGGTTGCGGTTGCGGGGTGTAAAGGCCGCAGCGTAACGGTTGCGGTTACCGGAACTGTGAATTTTTTTATTTTTCGCACAATTTACAAAAAACTTACTGATACGCATACATTTTTTTTAGAATCATATTTATTGGGTTTTAAAATAAATTTAGATAATTTTTTTATAATTTTTAAGTATGATCTAATATATTTCATATTTTTAAATCACTATAAAATAATTTTTTTTACATTTTATTTCAATAATTAATGACTTTATATGCCATAAATCCATGTTACACTTGTGGTAAAAATTTCTTTTATTAGACTTAAATGTATAAAATTATTTTTAATTATTATACTTGTGGAAACATATGTGCATTTTAACTCAAATAGTTTTTAAAAAGCATACATTCTTAATGGAAGAACTTGACAAAGTACATAACATCATAGCATAAATCACAAATAATAGAGAGTACATTTTACATAATGTTACTACTAAAATTACATAATGTCACCACCAAAATGAGTGACGCGGTGCATCTTGGGATTCAGATTGTTGAGCTTGATTGTTGCTGCTACCTTCACCCCACCAAAATGAGTGACGTGGTGCATCTTGGGAATCAGATTGTTGAGCTTGATTACTACTACCTTCACCCCATCCAGTAGGAAATATATAAGTAAATGTGCTCATCATGTCATCTCTTTCTGTTTCGTGCATTAGGAGAGAAAATGGATACCTTGGCTGAAAAGGATCAACATACTCTTGTTGGGCTTGTTGATAATTTGGCAAACCGTATCCTGGAGGACCACGTTGTTGAGGTGGGTAAGGATAGCTCTGGCTATCACTGCTATAGGATGGGTAAGGATGATATGGATAACTATGACTACTATCAGATGAATCAAGCTGTTGTTCTCTACTTCTTATTCTTCTTTCATCCCTACGTGTATCACTACCACGAAACCTCCTAGGTAGTTGGGGTAAAGGTGCAACAGGTTCTCCAATATCATAATGTTCCCCAACATCACATAATCCAAATCCTCCAATAAAATCTTCACTTCCCACACCAAAACTAGTACCATCACCGCCATCACAACCATTGTCGCCGCCACCGCCACCGTGAGAAGTGCCTTCACCATCACCATCATCACCTCCTCCATCAGATGGTGTTAAACCACCACTATTATCACTTTGAGTTCCTACCGTCTGTTATGTCTGTTATCTCTATTCCATCTGTCCTTTATGTTCCTCAATTATCTATTAGTCAGCTTGATGTCTCGGGTTTTGATGTTATCTTTTCTTCTTCTATCTATTCTGTGTAGGATCGGATATCTAAGTAGTAGATTGCGACCGGCCGTAGAGTTGAAGACCTCTATGTGGTGGAGAGCTTGCATCTGCCTATAGCAACCTCTCCGATTGCCTTTTCCTCTTTTCAGTTAGATTCTCTGTCTAGTCTTTTCTACTTATGGCATTCTAGATTAAAACATTTGTCTACTGATCGCTAACGGCCTTTAGTTCAGTTTGGTATATTGGGTAAACTTTCTCCTAGTGAACTTACAGAATGCCGGGAGTGTAAACTTGCCAAAATAACTGCCTTACCTTTTCATAAAAGTATTTTTATATCTGATATACCATTTTCTTTAGTTCATACTGATGTTTGGGGCCCTTCTCCTGTTCTCACCAAATGGGGTTCTGCATACTATGTGTCATTTGTTGATGACTGCACCCGTTACACTTGGGTTTATCTTATGACTCATAATTTTGACTTCTACCAAATATATCGTACTTTCCAGTCTATGATCACTATACAGTTTGCGTCTACTATTAAATTGTTGCGGTCTGACTTGGGTGAGAAATACTTTAAAACTGAATTCTGTGAATACTTGGCCAAATTGGGTACCATTCACCAAACTTCTTGTACTAATACACCTGCCCAAAATGGTTGAGCTGAGCGTAAACACTATCATCTCCTTGAGACAACTAGGTCTCTTATTCTCTCTGCCTCCGTCCCGGCTCCATTTTGGGGTGAGGCCGTTCTTACTGTTACTTTTCTTCTCAACCGTATGCCTACCCCCCTTCTTTCTGACCGGTCTCCTTATGAGGCTCTGTTTTCTGATTTTCCTAATTACTCCCTTCTTCGTGTGTTTGGGTCTACTTGTTTTGTCCTTTTACCCCGTAAAGATAGGATCAAACTTAGTGCCCGGTCTATCTTATGTCTTTTTAGGTTATAGTCTCACTCAAAAAGATTATCGCTGTTATGACTCTGTTTCCCGTCGCTTTTATGTCTTCCGTCATGTTGCCTTTCTTGAACGTCTACCTTACTTTCAGTTTCCTCCTCTCACCGTCCCAATTTCCAAAGAGGATTTGGTTCATATTGATTCATTTTCTTCTGAGGTCCTGTCTGATGAGTACATCTCCACTGTTTCTCCTGAGCTTGTTTCATCTTCTCTTCTTGCTTCACCTATGGCTGCTTCTCCTCCTTTGGCTTCTCCACCTCCTCCGTTGTTAGTTTATTCTCGTCGCAAGGCTCCTCTTCCACCAGTTGTCTCTGCCCTTGTTGCTGATCCTCCTGCTTCTGACGACTCTAATCCTGCTGCACACCGATATCTTACTCGTCAGCGTCGTCCTCCAAACAGGTTAGGTTGGTCTAATACATGTTTTTCTATTTTCTATTGTACTTTTGTGTCTTTTATTCATTCTTTTTCAGAACCTCAATCTTACACAGAGGCCTGTCAGGATCCTAATTGGGTCCAAGCTATGAAGGATGAGTTGTTTGCCTTACAGAAGACTAACACTTGGGAGTTGGGTCCTTTGCCTGCTGGCAAGAGTCTGGTTGGTTGCAAATGGGTCTATAAAGTCAAGACACATTCTGATGGTTCTCTCGAGTGATACAAAGCTCGCTTGGTTGCAAAGGGTTTCTCGCAGGAGTATGGTATTAATTATGAGAAGGCATTTGCCCCTGTTGCCAAGATGACTACTGTCCGTACCTTGATTTCTATTGCTATTGTTCGACATTGGCCTCTTTATCAGATGGGCGTTAAGAATGCTTTTCTTAACGGTCATCTCACTGAGGAAGTCTACATGCGTCCTTCCCCTGGCCTTCTCAACTTCTCTGGATAGGTTTGTCATCTTCGGCGCGCTTTGTATGGTTTGAAGCAATCTTCACGTGTTTGGTATGATCGCTTTCAACCTGCTATTACCGAGCTTGGGTTTCATCCTTCTGCTTTCGACTCTGCTTTGTTTTTGATACATACCTTGGCTGGTTTTGTTGCTCTCTTACTCTATGTGGATGATATGATCATTACTGGTTCTGACTCTTCTGCTATCTCTGAGGTCAAGAAACATCTCTTCTGCACCTTCGAAATGAAAGATCTGGGTCCATTGCGGTATTTTCTTGATATTGATATTGTCTTTTCTTTAAAGGGCTATTTCCTGTCGCAGGCAAAATATGCTAATGAGGTTATTCACCGTGCCGACCTTACTGATACTAAGATTTCTGATACACCTATTGAGCTTAATGTCAAGTTCAACTTTACTAATGGTGTCCTTCTGGATGATCCCACTGTCTATCGCGAGCTTGTGGGTTGTTTAGTTTATTTGACTGTTACTTGTTCTGATCTTGCTTATGCTATGCATGTGCTTAGTCAGTTCATTTCTGCTCCTCGCTCTACCTATTGGGCTGCTTTGATTCGCATTCTTCACTATCTCTGGGGTACTATCTTTCAGGGTTTACTGTTGTTCTCTACTTCCTCTTTAGACTTGGAGGCCTATGCTGATTCTGAGTGGGCTGGTGATGTTAATGATCGCAAGTCCATCTTTGGTTTCTATATATTTTTTGACGATTCCTTGATCTCTTGGAAAAGTCAGAAACAAACTGTTGTTGCTCGCTCTACTGCCGAAGTTGAGTACCGTGCTATGGCTTATGCTGCTGCTGAGCTTGTTTGGCTTCATTGTCTTCTCTTTGATTTGGGTGTCTCCCAGTCTTCTGCAACCTCTCTCTATTGTGACAACCGTAGTGCTATTCAGATTGCCCAAAATATTATCTTCCATGAACGAACAAAATACATTGAGATTGATTGTCACTTTGTTCGATAGCATCTGCAGTCTGGCTCTCCCTCGCTTCCATTCGTCTCCTCAGCTTTGCAACTTGCGGACTTCTTCACCAAGACTCACACTACCGCTCGGTTTCAGTTTCTTCTTAGCAAACTCTCAGTGTTTTCTGCTGAAGCACCTTGAGTTTGAGCAGGGGTGTGAGAATATATTGTATATATGGCATGATTGTCTATATGGCATGGTTATGTATATTAGGAATTAGGCATTAATTAGGCGTATGTATTTCCTTTTTCAGTCATTCCTTGTTCAGCCATAGATTAGGGCTATATAAATTGATAAATACTTTGTAAACATTAATATTTTGAAAATACAGAAATACTTCAGAATTCTTACAATAACAGTCACTTCCCAAACTTTGTTGTCAACACTGTGATCTTTAGTTTTTGTAGTTTCTTCATTATTATTGAAATGTTTACATGTCATGCTTTTCATAGGTTGTTGGTATAAAACATGGGTTTTAGTCATTACCTCATGTTATACCTGACAAAACTTACATCAGCAAAAGTATGGAATGCAGATAGATTTAAAACATTCTATTCTCTTTTCTTCAATTTGATAATTTTGAAATTACCATAATTTTCTTTCACAGATTCCAACATTATGTTGCATTGGTTAAATTCAGTTGCAATTGTGATTCTGGTTTGTAGGTAGACATTCACTGGATTTTTATATTCTAATTTGTCCAAAGAAGAAAGTCTTTTTTTGTTTAATATATTTGTTCATCCTTTAAATTTTTTCCTAGTTACAATGGTGCATAAGGTATATTATACTTGATATTATTGTTCATCCTCTTTCAAGTACTAATCATCTATTAGAATGCCACTTTTGCTTCTTAAGAAGATATCTAATTTCATGACCAGGTTGGATTTTCTCATTCAAACATCCTCAGAACCATTATTCAACATGCGTGTTTGAGGTTTCCCAGTCTTGCTTCATACAATAATGTGTCCAGGCCCTTGCCTGGAACTGGAAGATCAAAATCTTCACAACTCACTGATGTGTTCCCCAAATACCACAATGATGTTCACAAAGTTTTTGTCATTTTTGGTGGAGACACTTCTGAACGACAAGTATCTCTTATGAGTGGAACTAATGTTTGGCTCAATTTGCAGGCTTTTGATGATGTAAGTATTCATGTTTAGGCAGGGGCGGGGTCGGGGGGGTCTTGGCCCCTCCAACTTTCTGTAAAATCTCCATTTTATATGTATATTTTTGTCAATTTTTTTTTTTTTATTTTATATTACGTGATGGCCCCCCCAAACTTCAATCTGACACTCAAAAAAAATTGTAAAGACCCTAATGTAGTAGAGTTACCTTTGAAAGAAACATGTACAATAATATTATAGTGATCCTATTTTTTTATTCTGTATTGTTTATCCTCTTATGTGTCAGTGCTATATTAGTATCAAATATGAGTAGTTAAGGTAATAAGCAAATTGTGGTAAAAAAGATGATCATTCTAACATTATTATAGTTCAAAAAAAAAAAAAAAAAATTCTAACATAATTGATAAAATTTAATCCGGTCCATTTTAAAAACAATATAGTTTACTTGTGAGTTTCTATAATTTATTTAATGGAATCACTTGTAAAACTTTATATAACTAAGGTTATTGTATAATAGATTAATTATATTAAGATTTTTTTAACTATTACCAAATATTACCCTAATGTTTATCTATAAATTCTTTCATTTTGACCTCCTTAATCATAAAATTCATACAAATAATATTTAGTTATGACTAATCTCTTATAATTTTATTGGTCTAATTGGCCTCTAATGAGTAATATTTAATAATGATTTAATCAAATAAAACTCCAACGGATCCATCGACAGCTCGGTAGATTTATCTTATGCCTTCTCTTTCGTGAAATGGCCCAACCCACCGGAGAAATCTTGGCTCCGCCCCTGTGTTTAGGGATAGTTTAATTTTTATTATGTCCAACTTACATGTAATGTGATGGCAGCGTTACTGGCTACCTACAGTCATAAATGTGAAATTTCTGAAACCTCTTGTTTTTGTTAGAAAGCTAAATGGTTCATAATTAGTTGGTAACCATTTTAGTCTATTGTTCTAAAGTGTTGACCTATTTAATTCTACTGTTCTAATTTCATTAAAAAAATTCAAAACAATTGGTTCGTTTTTGAATTGTCTTGTATGACTTCAGTTTTTTGTTTTATGACTTCAAATTACTGCATTTTGAAATTTAAAGTTTTTATTGGATTCACCTTCCTAATCGAAGTGCTATTGACAATTTTCATGGCTACAGCTTGAAGTAACACCGTGTTTGCTTGCCCCTACAAAAGGTTATTCATCCAAGACAGAACCTGATAACAAGGAAATGGATGTGAGCTCCAGAACAGTTTGGTCATTACCGTAAGTGTAGATTTTGTATTGGTATAGCTTACTTTATCTCAATGCTCTATGTGACTATGTAGGTAACGTAACAGGATGTTCATATATGCTACCTTGCCTGTGGTTTCTTAAGTTTTTTAATGATTGGGATTGAAACTAAAAATGCAGTTACTCTCTGGAAAGACACATCAATCGTTTGTCCATACTAGAAAATTAAGGATGTCAACCAATGGTATTTGCTATAGAAATTTAAAACTACATGTTACAATTATAAAAATAGAGTTATACTTCATAGTAGATGAAGATGAACCTAATGTATCATCACATTGTAGTGATTTTTTTAGCACAGTTCTTTAGATGAGTTCACCCTTCTTCTGTTTTCTATGTTAGTCATTTACATAGAGTTCACTTCCTTTGGTTACAGATACTCTCTTGTACTGAGACATACAACCGAAGAAGTTCTTGATGCATGCATAGAGGCTATCGAACCTACGCAGGCAGCATTGACATCTCAGTTACGGAGCCAAGTGATGGATGATCTCATGGAAGGTCTGAAGCAGCACGATTGGTTCACAGGGTTTGATATATCTGGTGAACCACCAGCAAAGTTGATGCTTGAGCAGTGGATCAAGCTAGCTAAGGAAGTTCAGGCCACAGTTTTCATTGCAGGTTCTCTTTTGTAATCATGATGTGCTAGCCAATGAATACTTGCATTTAATTTTAGTGCTGTCAGACATGCCCTCGATTCTTGATGCTTATGCCTTCTGCCATCTTAACAGATCTAATAGGATAGGTGATAATGTGTTATCTTTATAATCTAACTTTTGCTTTTCATTTATTATAAAGTGAGAGATCTTGATTGTATAGAAGTTGTTTGGGTGGGTTTTATATAAGCATCTTATTCATTCAACCTAAATATAAATTGCTAATCATGTTTTTCTTTTTATTTGTGACGATTGAATGTTCATATGAAAACAACAAAAGAAGGGGACATGACTATTTATACATGCTGTATACAAAATGTTACAATTCCTACACAATCACAAGACATCCATATTATAGCTAAAACATGGATTAACATTTCAATGAATGGATAAACCTGCTGTGTTTGAGGTTCAAATGTTTGACATTGACTTTCAACTAAGGTGAAAGAATTAATTGGTAGATAGTCAGAGCATTAATTGGCTGTACTTGGTGGATTCTCGCTTAGCATGAAATGAAACTAGGAATCTAATTGTTAACATATTCTGATGTCTATCACTGTAATAGAAGAATCTGATCAACTTGTTTGCAGCTGAGAATTCTAAGAATTGATAATAGTTTATGGCATTTTCAAATGTTGTTGACAGTGCATGGAGGCATTGGTGAAGATGGTACACTCCAGTCTTTGCTGCAGGCCGAAGGTGTTCCTTATACAGGTATTTCTTATTGACATTTGGTATTGATTTCATAACTTGTGTTCATGATATGTAACTACTCATGTTTTGTTTCTTTTAAATTGAAGGTCCTGGCATAATGGCTTCTAAGACATGTATGGACAAAGTTGCTACATCTCTTGCCGTAAACCATGTACGTTAACAAATATGTATGATGTCCTTGAAGACAAGTGGACTTCCTATTGTTGTTTTTTTTTACTTCTCATTATGCCCATACATATCGCTTCTATTGGTTCATAATATTTATTATTGGTTCATAACAAATATTCAAATGCATGAGGACCTGTATAAACATTATATATGCTGAAATGCTGGCCTCAAAAGAAAAGAAAGTTGCAATCTGATCTTGGTGTGTGACTTGGAGAATATATTTTTGCTTTTTTTCCTAAATGCAAATATTACTTAAATCTGCCAGTATTTTTCAAATTGCGTTAGTAATTATTAGACAATCTTGAAATTTATTATATTTCTTCAAATTGCATTAGTAATTACAGGTCATGGGAGAATTAATTCAATGGTTCTTTTTCTATGGGCCATTGCAACTTTACGTATCTAATGGAGGCCCATCTAGATGTCCCCTTTTTTTAATGTTTATACATTTCTCGTGTTCAGCCGACCCGATTTGATGGGACTTAAACCTTGGCTTGGTTTGGTTTGATTTGGTTTATACATTTCTCGTGTTCAGAACTTGAGTTACCTAACATGTTGATAACTACAAGCATTTATTTGTGTGATGTACAAAAAATAGAGATTCTCTATGGGTGCATTAATTTCATCATAAGCTTCTGTGTTTTTGTTCAAAGAAGAAAAACTAGGATGTCTGCAGTATGTTTGCTGTTTCTGTTTTCATTTGTGCATTGATAATGTTATGTAGTTGCTAATACAGTTGTCTTATACAATACGCTGGCAAGATGGTTCAGATTCTGTTTGTCATAGGCTTATTGCTTTGTTTTGCTTCCATTATGTTTTCATTTGATCTGACATATCTTCGTTCTAAGCATCAAATCTCTGTGAATGTAGCTTGCAGACTTGGGAGTTCTCACCATAACCAAGGATGTGCGGACAAAAGAGGATCTACTGAATTTGCCCATAATTGATACTTGGCAGGAGCTGACCTCAAAGCTTCAGTGTGATACATTATGTGTTAAACCGGCCAGAGATGGATGCTCTACTGGTGTTGCAAGATTATGGTAGGTTTATGTCATTCATTTGTTGTTAGTATGTGTCTTCTAGTAAATGCCCAGAACTTCATTAGCATTGTTCTGTACTACGCCTGTGATGGAAATAGTGGTGTTGTTCTATTGTCAACAAGCTTTTATGTTTATGCAGCCGTTTGGAGGACCTTGTGGTATATGTAAAAGCATTGAACGATTGCCTTCTTAGGATTCCTCCAAATAGTTTGTCAAAGGTATCGACAAATTTTATCCATGTGCCCATGCTATCTCAAATGTGGTAAAATCTTTTCATTGCTATTAAATTCAGATATATGTGGTGATATTATGTCTTTTTTACTAATATGCAGGCACATGGAATGATTGAGATGCCAAACCCTCCACCAGAGTGCGTAATTTTTGAACCATTTGTTGAGACTGATGAAATTGTTGTCTCTGCCAAATCCTCAAATGAGAATACACGACATCTTTTGTGGAAAGGACAGAGTAGATGGGTAGAGATAACTGTTGGTGTAGTAGGAAAAAGTGGATCAATGCACTCGTTGACTCCTAGTGTTACTGTCAAAGAAACTGGAGATATTTTGTCACTTGAGGAAAAATTCCAAGGTACCCCTTTATTCAACATATTAGTAGAGAGAGGGTGATGTACATCTTGTCCTCTAATCCACTTGTATTTGCTCGACAGGTGGAACTGGCGTCAATCTGACTCCACCCCCATTATCAATTGTTAGGTCTGTTAACAACCTTCATCCTGAATGATTATATTCTTGTGGACATGATATGCTGTCACATTACCTATTTCTTATTTCATTGGTAGTTCACAAAGTTGAGTCAGTAATCCTTTGGGTTTTTTGGAGCCTCAGAAAAGATATATGATTTCTGTAATGTCATTTGTTACACAATAGCAAGGCCCTTTTATTTTTACCAGATCGTGACAGTAACATATTGAGTTTCACTACCCATGCTATTCTATTTATGGTGATCATGAAACTGAAGAAATTAATTATTTTGCTAACTGTACATTGGCTGTCTATTAAGATAATCTTCATTACTTGCCCAAACAAAAGATAATCTGCATCAGCATATGATTGTGCAAATTCCAGCTTTTGAAAAATACCGACTTTATGTGCTTGAAGTATATTTTTTGCAAGTTATCACACTAGACTAGAGATAGGAATTTGTATTTTGTTGATAGTGGTACAGTCTATAGATAGTGGCAACTTGGCAAGGGAGGGTCATCATTGATTCTGTTCAAATCCATGAGAGAGAACACAAATTCTTGTATATTGTGTTTTTATCAATGCATGAGTCGAGGCTTTAACATATACTTATTCACACTGTTTGCCTATTCTTCTTCCTTCCTGGATCAGTAATGAGGCTTTGGGAAGATGTAAACAGCGCATTGAACTCATAGCAAACAGTCTACAGTTAGAAGGATTTTCACGTATTGATGCTTTTCTTAATGTCGACAGTGGTGAGGTATGTTTGATTTTCTTGATATCACTGGACAAATCATCATCACATTTTGCCTTAGCAAAATCTTGGGCAGTACTAGCAATTTATTTCTTTACATACAAATAAGGGAATCGTTGAAAACCCGCTCACAACCTTATCAATGATTGTAGTACCTAGTATTACAGATGATTGTTCCCAACTTTTAACTACATGCAACGATGCATGTATCAGGTTTAAATGGACAAAGTTATTCTATTATCAAAGGAATCCTAAACTTTATTTCTGGTTGTGACTAAATGATTTAAAGACTTGGCTTTGGATTTTTTTGGCCATTGCTTGGTGAACTGGTAATGGATAGGCTGCCCGATGTAAGAATGTTACTTAAAATCTTAGGGCAGCCACATTGTGCATATATTAGATTGGTCTGAAAGCTGAACCATTTCTGCCTTCGTAACATGTGTTAAGTGTGACCGATTCTTGATCATGGACCTTTTTAAACTTCTGTGCACCTGATAAACCTATTTTTTATTTGAAGGTACTGATCATAGAGGTTAATACTGTTCCCGGAATGACACCTTCTACTGTTTTGATTCATCAGGTAAGGATGACATCCCTGAATAATGAAGCATTTGAACTTGTGTTGGCAACATAGTATGGAGATATCAACATGATTATATGACTATTTGAACTGTGATCATATACATAAAATCCTATTATTCCTTTATCTTGAACGAGTTTTGACAATTTTTTTATTTTATTTTAATTTTTTTATTTAAATGCTATAGAGAAACCACATTGAAGTTATTTCTAATTAAGCAGTGTACCGATTCAGTTTTTGTTAAGCACTTCCACTGCCCAGAGAAACTACCTATTAGTCACCCCTAACCTGTTAGATCTTTATTCTATGCTTCTCAGGCACTGGCAGAGCAACCTCCAATGTATCCTCATCGGTTCTTTCGCACACTGCTTGATTTGGCAGCAGAGAGGTCTATGTAAATTTTTAACTCATAAGAATATCTCCATTGTTTCCTTGAAGACATATTGTTGTGTTGATTTGGATTCTGTATGAAAAAAATAAATTAACCAATCAATCATCCATTTATGTCTAGACAATGTTGTCATGCTGTCAAAAACTTATGTATATACATGGATACATTTTTAGATGAATGTATCTGCTTTTTATCATTCTGCATTCTTCAGAATTATGTGCAATTATTACCACACTCACGTGCAAAACACGAGCACTCAAATTTCCACAAATTATGCTTCTTTTTTCCTTTTTACCTAACAGACCATACATTAAATTTTATTTTTCTTAGATAATTTACATTTGAGGTCCACATTTCATGCAATGATTCAAGCTTCGAGTAATCAGATGGCCAGCACAAGGCCCGGCAATGATCGGTTCACGAGATCCTGAGGTTGGCTTTGCCATAGTGTCGGGCTCTCATGCCCAATCAATTCTGTCATGGTGAGCCATGTGTTGAAGTACTCCCTAAACTGGGTGATTAAACCATCTCTTAGGGTCCAAACATGCACCCAATAGGCTTGTGCTCCTTCCCAGCCCTCCACAATCACCTGGTCATCGATGGCAGAGATGCTCCGAGGCTCGAACTTGAACACAGCTCGAGCAGACTCATTAGTGAGCACCCTCATCATGTGCTGGCAATTTTGAGGCCCATGAAACCACCATTCTAAGTCGGTAGCTAGAAGTCCGGCCACCCTGTACGTGTCCCCACCGCTTGCCAATGCCTTGTAAAGCATGCTGACGGCCATCTTGTTTTGGTTTTCTGGCAAAACCGACTGCGTCTTGGCATTTTTGGCAGCCATATTTCAAATGGGAAGTGAGGTTGGATTTTTGGAAAGAAGTGAGCTGACTAGCTAGAAATTAGAATGTCTAGTGATTTCTTGCATGGCATATATGGCAAAGTAGGAACCTTTATATAGGGTGGAAAAATATAACATATATTATGAGATAGATAGAGAAAGACAAAAGGGTGGGACCCACGTCGGTTTGATGGTGACGTGGACTATCCAATGGCTTAGATTTGCTGATGATATGCAGACGTGTTCAATGTGCATTTTAGTTTAGATAAATAACAATATGGACCGAGTACACAAAAAACACCAAAACACAACTCAATGCTTGTAAACAACAGGATTGTAGTTCGTACATAGATACCAATCCAATTCAAAAATTAAAAAAAAAAAAAAAAAAAAAAATGACAATGACAACATCACGCTTGGAAAAGATTATTGTTACTTCACTTTTCTTTTTTTTTTTAAATTTTTTTTTGAAAATATTTAATATAATGTTCATGAAAAATGAGTTTTTTAATTCACATGTTCTGATTAGTCTAAAATAATATGCCTTATATCGAGAGAAGTGTATTAATCCCACAAAAAATGTAGACTTTTCAATATTTTCTACCAATTATAAAAGTAAATGTGTGAACAAAATTTAACTCGTATTCATGGTATGGTATTCTCTTCGGTGTGAATGGATTGAACCATTTGGTCAGTTACATGGGTCCATTATTTGACCTATTTTATTATAAGTTCGGTTCAAACTTTGTGAATGGATTGAACCATTTGGTCAGTTACATGGGTCCATTATTTGACCTATTTTATTATAAGTTCGGTTCAAACTTTTAGGTTGATGTGATTAACAAAAAAATCAAATGAATTCAATAATTATAATTATATAATTTCACATACATGTTTTATAATTTTTTTTTTAAATCATACTTGTCGACATTTTTAAAAAAAAAAAAAATAAGTATGACAAAACTATATAATTATAGTTGTTGGATAAACCCAATTTTGTTATGAATTATAAACACACGAGTCTAAAATATCAACATAATAGACTCATGTCACTCAATTAAACAATATTTCAATCCATCCATTATGATAGAGAGAAGTTAAGTTCTCATTAAAAAAATGTAGTTTATAATTAGTTATGATTTGATATATTCCTAATTATCATTCGAGGGTTTCATATGGGATGTTGAACTTGTGGCTAATTGAATAGAAAGTTGTAGATTAGATTGTAGTTTAGATTTACTACTTTGGACAAGAAAAAATTATTCATTATTGTATGTGACATGTCACAACTCACAAATTTTTATTACAATCATTCATTTTTGTGGCATGAAGCCCACATCTACACAAATTAATGTTGTTGGTGAAATTTGTGTCATTGCCGCTTGTAATAATAGTGAATAATTTTTTGTTTCAAATATATCCTAAACCTTTGACAATCTGTTAAGATAAGAATATTGATGAGTTTCAGAGGTTTTAATTTCAAATCCTATTAAACATCACATGTTTCGCTAATTATAGTATTTGGATTAATGAAAAATGACTTGATTAACTATACTTTTAATGGGACCAAAATTTCAGAGATAAGGCCATTGGTGTGGAAGAGGGGGACTGGCAAGGGGGGTCGCCGGTGGAGAGATGGGCTGGGGAAAGGTGGGAAGGTATTGCCAGAAGAAGGTTGCGGGGGTGGGATTTCAAAGGGTAGGGTTGGTATTATGGTGGGTGCTCAAAAAAGAAAAGAAGGTTAGTAATTTTGGGGTGTATGGGTTCGAAAGAAGAAATTAGGAGGCAAATAGCAGTACTCAAAAATATTTATAAAAATGGTTTATTTTACTTTTTATCTCTAAAATTTTTGTTAAATGGGCCAAGCTTGTCTCTAGTCTGAGATCAGACTGGAACATGCTATTGGGCATGTGGGAGGCCACCACAGATTCTGTTTCGATAATTCGAATGTTCAATGTGTAGAACTCAAGTATTTTATTTTTGTAAAAAATCACGTTGATCGGATATCGATAGCTACTTGATCAGATCAGATCAGATTTTTGTCAATGGTAAATATAATTTTCAAAATAAATTATTGATAAAAATCTGATCCGATCAAGTAGCATTCGATATCCACTCAATGTAATTTTTTATAAAAATAAAATACTAAACGAAATTTAAACATTGAACGGTTCGATTTATTGAAATAGGACCCGTAACAAGCTCTACAGATTCAACGGCACAATCCACTCTGCTGAAGACAAGCCCCTTGTTAAATTCTGTACTTAATTTCTGAACTGCCAAATGAGAATATGTAGTACACATGCATTTAAGGATACCTCTCATGTACAATGATTTTGGACATTCTCGAAAGTTTGGCAAAGGCTTTTTTTAGATCTTTTGAGTTAAAATTTATAAAAAGATAAAATATGTTAAAATAGTTAATAAGACAAAATATTACATCAAATCTATAATTATTTTATTTTTTCTCTTACAAATATCACATCTAACTATAAAAACATCCAACTATCTTACCAAACACAAAAATTTTAGCCTAGTATTGTTTAAGATGATGTAAATAAGTGCACTTTTTGACTTTTTATGAAATATGGTTTGAGTTTGAAGTGATATAGTAAAGAAGTGATGTGACTTAAATAAGATAATGACTTTTTAATTTTTTGACTTTTTAAAAAAAATGTCAAACTTAGTCTAAAATAACTTATTAAAATAATAACTTTTCGAACACTCACTATTAGTGTTTGGTTGTAACAATGAACTTATATCCGTTACGGATTGGAACTGGGCACGGACTTTGTCCTCTCTACCCATCATATGTTGGATTCTTCGAATCTTTCCTGTGTCTGAAAGAATATGTACAATACATAAGCATTAAATGATCCTCTAAATTTGAAATTGGTGGGTGTTCACAATTAACAGTTTTTCCCCCCTCCATTTATAATATAAAGCTATTGTCAACTGATACTCTTATGACACTTTACTATCTTTAAAATGATTCTACATTCACTAGATTTTTGAATGAACAACCATTCATGTCTTTGTTAACCTTTGTTATTAGTTTGTTTACTGTGGCCTATGCAGATCACTCATCAAAAAAGTTGTGCTATGCTAGCCATAGCTTGGCCTTTGTTGGTTTCATTTTTTTTCTGAACTACTAATAGTGAGACCCTCTCAATGAATGAATACGGTTAGTTTGTGTTTGGCTCATGAATTTAGAAAGAAAAAGAAAAAATGTTGGTAAAATGTCTGTAAAATATGACTACATTTCACACACATTTTTTATTTTCTTTTCCAAATCTCTTCCCAAATCTTTGAATCAAACATGGCCTTAATCATTTATTGTGATTGAGACATGGCCTTGTCGAATCAATTTCATTCTCTACCAAAAAAAAAAAAAAAGCCTATCACTGGCAATCAGGCTACCTTGCTAGCAATAAATTTAGTTAGGCAATGTTTTTGGTAGGGTTAGCTTCAGAGTTTTTGAGACTAGCACTATCCAAGATTGAAGAAAGGTCTTGACATTTCAATGAATTTGTTACGCTCCACCGTTTGCTATTTAAAAGAATTATTTTGCAACTGTTGATGTAAGTATTTTGTGTCGCGCTAGTAGACTCAGTTTCTTTAAGTTATTTAGACTTACATATTATGGGGTGTTATGATATCAAAGCCAGGGCGTTGTTGTGGTGTGGTACCCTACCTATAAACACGAGCACATGGTGCAATAGTGTGGTGGATCCCCTGACGAGTGAGACTATAAGGAGAGCAGAGTTGTGTCTAGGGGTGGGCAACGGTTTATCCGAACCGCTCAAACCGCCTAATCCGCATATAAATGGGCGGTTTCGCAAACATAATGCGGGCGGATGCGGTTTGAAATATGACAAATTTGCGGGTTACGGGCGGGTCGCGGTTTAAACCCGTAACCCGCAAAAACCGCCCGCACTTTAATTATTATTATTATTATTGTTATTATTATTATTATTTTTTATATACCAACTTTGTAACTTTTACAGGAGCACCATTATATTCTCTATGACACTAGGATCCTTATTTTTAAGTATTTCTCAACTTTCTTAATGCCGTAGAATTATCAAGTCCTAAACTTGGTTTCTTATATGATTTTCATTGGTGATTCATCCACTTTTTCCTAATAAAATTTTCCTTCTAATGGTCGATGGAACTTACAGTTTGATTATTGATTACTGAACTGGCAATTCTAATTGAGTACAACCTTTAATGCATTGATATACATTTTTTCCATGGCAAAAATGCTAGTGTAGGGTCTCTTTGTTTTGGGTACTTTCATTTAATGCATTGATATTCAATTTTTATTTATAAACTCATCAAAAAATTGTTATCACAAATATATAAAATGAATCTGATGCCTAAATTCGCGCAATAAGACCCGCTCGAGCGGACCTCCTAAAAACTGGGTAACAAGGAATTGAAACCAAGGCCTAACCAACCTGTAACAACCCTGCCCAAAACATCCTAAAACTCAATCAAGCGGAATTAAAAGACGACAATAAGATAGATACAACTACTATCATCATGGAACCGAGTCCGGAATACAACAGAACAGTAAAGGGACAATCGGGATCGCTTTTCAAATAAATTTTAATTTTCTCCCAAAAAAAAAAAAAAAAGCCTATCACTGGCAATCAGGCTACCTTGCTAGCAATAAATTTAGTTAGGCAATGTTTTTGGTAGGGTTAGCTTCAGAGTTTTTGAGACTAGCACTATCCAAGATTGAAGAAAGGTCTTGACATTTCAATGAATTTGTTACGCTCCACCGTTTGCTATTTAAAAGAATTATTTTGCAACTGTTGATGTAAGTATTTTGTGTCGCGCTAGTAGACTCAGTTTCTTTAAGTTATTTAGACTTACATATTATGGGGTGTTATGATATCAAAGCCAGGGCGTTGTTGTGGTGTGGTACCCTACCTATAAACACGAGCACATGGTGCAATAGTGTGGTGGATCCCCTGACGAGTGAGACTATAAGGAGA